GTAGCTTAATCTGCTTGATGTGAACTGGCTGTTCCACTGACAACTGATTCCCAAGCACTGTCCTGCCTGTCCTCCCCACTCCCCAGGAGGCTGCACTCACCCCAGCCACTCTGTCTGTCTCTGGGACCAGCCCAGAGGCGTGGCTGAGCTCAGTCTGAGCAGGGACTTTGGGGCCAAGAGCCAGAAAGTGAAGATAAGGACAGTCTCCGACTTCCTTGCTTTCTTTCCTACTTCTGTCATCTTGTTGTGCTAGACAGAGGGTGAGGAAAAAAAAAAAAAAAGCCAAGCTTCCTACAACATGGGCCACTGCAAATATGAAAGTCTCACACTTGGTGCATCAGTCACGCTCCTGCTGTTTGTCATCCACCCAAAGGTGAGTGAGTCCCAGCAGAGTGAGAATAAGCAACGACGGCAGTTGCTGCAGGAGGGCTTGGGAACCAGTCACACTTTGAAGGTAACGTTAAAGCTCAAGACGGGGTACAGGAAGGAAAGGAAAGCTGATCAAAAAACATGCAGCAGGTAGATGAAAACAAAAGAAACTGCTACACATAAAGGCAGAGCTGGTGGCAGAAGACATCAGAGCTGCAGAAGACTTTCCAGCCCCTTTTATCTCACCTCTGCACTCTGTGCTTCCTTTGTGCCTCCTCTTGCTGATATCAGAGCTCTGCCCATCACAGAAAGGCCATTGTAGTTTATTGATTTATTTCTTCACAGCACAAAATTACAGCCTGGTCTGCCAGATCAAGTTGTGTCAGTTGTGTTCCCAACAGCTTGGCCGTGGCAGGGGTGACCTGAGCTGCTTGGAAAATGTTAATTGAAAATGAGAGTTTTAAATCAGCACAAAGCAGCAAATGACATGAATCGTTCTTTTAAAAACCAAACAAGCCAAGAGGAACCATTGTGCCAAGCACAGCTGTACAGTGTTGCTACACCCTGTCAGTATTACTTAATGAAACAAAAAGAGAAATGAAATTGTAGAAATTCCAAGAAAAAAGCCCCCGAGACAAAATCGGAAGGCATGACTGAGCCTGCAGATTGCAAAGCATTGTGTTTTCTGATAGCGAGTGCAACAAGCACTGTGAGAGTCTCTGGCAGTAAGGAAATGCTCTGCTTGTGACACAGCTATTGCCTGGGTTCGTATC